GGGGGGGGGCGAGAGGAAGTCCCCGGAGCCGCAGGGACACTGAGAGTATGTTCACACACACACACACACACACACACACACGCACACGCACACGCACACGCCCACTCGGATGCTTACCTGGGCACCTGGGGGGCAGCTCGTGGGGAAGCAGCCTGGGCTTTTGCAAGGAGCGCGGGGCAGCGGGACAATCCCTTCCAGGCCTTTCGGAGACCGACCGCACCCTCCGGTTCTCAGTTCCCGCGCTCCGCTTAGAAACGTTCGGCCCGGGATAACGTCACCGCGCACAGGCGGCGCTGACCAATCAGGCCTGGTGGCCCCGCCCCAGGGGGTGGGGATTTGAGTCTCGCGGGGAGCTCCCCCGCAGTTTGTCCTGGTTAGCCCCGCCCACCTTCAGCGCCGGCACCTGTGCGCGGTCCCGAGCGGCACCACTCCGGGATGGCCGGCAGGGGGCGCCTCGCCACCGCAGCTGAGGAGCCGCCGCAGTGTCTGCCTTCTGGCCCCGGGGCGCAGTCGCCCGAGGATGTCCTGGCAGGTAGGCGTCCCACGGACAGGTGGGGCCTGTTAACATCACGCACCGCTCGTGGGTTCTTCTGGTTCTTTCGTCGTCGCCGAGGCGTCAGCTACGGGCACTACTTCCAGGTGAAAACCCTTCAGACTAGTGGTTTTTGAAGCGCAGTACAGACCGCCAGCAACAGCGTCCTCTGGGGACCGTGAGAAATGCAGACTCTCAGGCCCCGCCCAGACCTGTGAGTCAGAAACTCGGGGTGGCTCCCCGCACTCGCCAGGTGAGTCTGATGCAGGGAGGTTGCAGAACCACTGCTTTCGGCAATTCTTTGATCTCAGCTGCTTGACTCTAGTTATTTTAACATTTACTGCTTATGCCTCTTACCTTTAATGTAGGGCAAAAGTATATACTGTATATATATTTTTTCTTTGTGTGATGTCAGTTTTTCTTCTCTGAGTTGTTGATGCTTTTTTCTCTGCTCTCTGTTTTCTATGCAGTGTCACTCTGGCTCCCCTAGGAATGTGTCTTCTCCATCAATCTGAAGACTTTTCTTGATGATATTTCCTGTGCCATAAATGATTGATTAGAAAAACAAGTTTGGCCAATTGACAGGTTGATAGTACCTGCCTGATTGCAATCATGTTATAAAAAGAATTACAATAGGATACGCAGAGTGGGAGAGTGGGCGTATTTACAAAAGGACTATGAGACATCAGAGAGGTGTTCCGAAAGGAGTGGACATTGGAGCTGCCCCTTGCAGAACGGGTTTTGTTAATGAGAAATAGATGGCCTTTTCCAGGTCCGTGTCGGGTCTGTGTCTCAGTGGTTTGGTAATACAGTGGCTTTTAGTTGTGGCATATTGTATTTTCCAATGGTAGCTGCTCTGATATGGATCTCATCTCTTCTTACAATTCGATGCGGGCGCTCCTCCGCGGAGAGGTGGGGTCTATGTTCTTGCCTCTTAAATGCGGGAAGACCGTTGTAACTACCTTGACCAAGAGAGTGTGTCCGAAGTGCTGCTGTGTGGTTTTCAGAACTAAGTCATAAACGGTGGTGCGTCTTCCCCCTTCTCTCTTCCTGGAGCCACATCCCTTGGGGGCAACGGGCTGATAGGTGAGATGTCTGAACCCTGCAGCTGCCATGCTGAAGGGTCCCTGTGGAAAGGTCACATAGAGATAGAGGGTGATGTTCGAGGGGCCCCAGCAGCCCTTGCTGTTCTGTCCCCCAGGGGTCTGAATTGAATGAGACTTCAGATGATTCTAGCTCAGGCTTTGAGTAATCCCAGCTAACACTGGAGGAAGTAGAGCTACCCCTGCAGAACTCTACCCAGACTGCGGGTTTGTGAGCAAAATATTGTTTTAAGCCCCTAAGTTTTGGGGTGCTTTGTTATGCAGCATTAGGTGACTGGAACGTTAGATCACTGGACTGTGTTTGAGCACAGTCCCATGCTTTCATAATTCTCATTGCTGCCTAACTTTTCAATGGTCTTTATTAATATTCCTTAAGCGGTATAGATGTGAGCCCAAGCACCTATAACTTCTCCACACAATTACCAATTACTTCGTTTCCTTCCTCAGAGACTTCCCTTCTCTGGTGCCAGCTGTCTCCTCCGATCCCCCACCGCAGCTCACTGGGGGAGGTGGAGTCCAGCTTCCGCTTCCTTACTTAATAGAGGTGTGACCTTAAACAAGTCACTTCTCTGGGCTTCCCCTGCACTGCCTGATAAGTGAGAACAACGTGTGTCTTCCTGAAGGCAGGGGGATAGATCAACAACTGGGGGGAGGGAGCTTTCGCTTCCAAGATCTTTGATTTCAATGAACACTCATCAGATAAAACCACTTCAGAGTAAAATGAGTCTGCAGAGAAAGATTCCTGCTATGTAAAGAAGAATTTAAGTCTCGTCCAGAAAGAATACATCGAGCTACCTGGGGGAGGCGGCACAAACTTGTGAAACTGTTGGTCAAGGGGCATTGTAAAGCTCAGAAATGTGGGAGAAAATTACATTATGCAGAATGAAGAGGAAATGCAGGGACACCTGATCAGGGTGCACCCATGGTCAAGAGGTTTGAAAGACAATTACATACCTGTGTAAGTGGAATGACTTTCATTAAAATAATCACTATAAAAAAGAATTACACAGGTTATGATAGCAGGAGGGTGGAGTTTGACAATGGTTCATGAAACTGCCGGACAGCATCTGGAGGCAAGTAGTGACGATTAAAAGAGCAAAATGAACATGCTAGCATGAATTCAGACGGGAAAAGCATGAAGCTACAAACCTAGCAAGAGGAAAATGCCCCAAGTTGAAGAAGATACAGAAAATAGGACCCTGTGCATTTGAAGAAAGTAGAAAGTTAAGGCAATTTCCAGATATTGCTCAGTGAAGAAATTAGCTGCAAGTTAAAGACACAGTACATAGAAAGAGCAAGAATACAGGGTGTCCCCCCAAAAATGTATACACACCTTGACTAATTATAAAGGCAGTGTTTATTAAAATACATTTCATTTTCAAAATGTAATAGAAATCAGCTGTTAAAGTGTGTATACATTTTTGGGGGGGACACCCTGTATTTGTGGATAGCTATGGAAGTATACATTAATAAGAATAAAGCTAATTCTTTTCAATCACTAAGGGGAAAAGATAAAGCATACGTATTCATACAGTATTGTGAGCCTTTTTGCAGAAAGAGGCTCTTGAAATACAAGGTAATATCATCATCATTGTTTTCATATCATCACTGCCCTTGCTCATTTGGCCAACAGCTGTTTCTCACTGTTCCCTTCCTTTGCATTTCATCACATTTTTGGTCTCACTATCCTAAGAACCAAAGCATTAAGTTTTGGGCAGTGTATTACTGAAGCAAAGTTTAACCCTCAGTTGTTCTGAATAAGTGAAGTTTTAAACTGAAGATAGGAAAATAAGAAGGCAACTTGGATTTTTAAAGAAGGCAGAAAAGTACTCTTAGAATATTTTCTTTTGGCCTTACAAGGAAAACTATTGACTGTTGAACTTGCAAGTGTTTTTCTGGCCAGTGGTAGAACCTCATACTTGCTTGTATGGCCGAGATGCGAAAAAACTCAGGAGGCCAGGGCCAGGCTTGGGTCTCCCTGACAAATGTAAAATCTGGGCCATTTATGACATTCCTAATTCCTCCCCCACCTCAGACTTGAGCTCCACATCCCTTACTCAAATCCCATTTTTATTTCAAGCACATATTAACCCACACGTCCCCAATAAAGATCTAAACTTTTCAAATCTAAGTTTTGATATTACAGTTTCAAGTTTTAACAGGTAAAGGTGAATTATGTGGATTTGTAATACTGTTTCACTAAGAAAAGCATGCCCCCTCCCTCATGACTACACAATCAGTCTTAAGCATAACAAAAAAGAGTTTGCTATGGAGGGGTGCTCATATCTTCTGAAAAGAAAGCTGACCCAGACAGCTGGCTTCAAATTCAGCTCTGACAAAGGCTTCCTAAGCCTGGACAAAGCCCTGCAGATGCCATCTCTCCTCTTTGCCTTAACGCTGTCCGTGAGGAAGCAGAGGCATTGGGGCCTGTCAGAGGCCGCCGCCTCCTCAAGCAAAAGGGAAGCTGTTCTCTCCTTCCAGCATTACGATTTTACTTACACTCTTGAGATCTGCCTCGGCAGGGAGCAAGCGGAACGCCTGTAGGCTGGCACCTCACTGCCCCCAGGCTCGACAGCTGTGCCGAGGAGAAGGCTGCTGGGAGATGGCGCATGTTCCCTTGAGAGAAGCAGGGTGGTCATCAGGTGCCGCTGATTTTCTTGTCGTTTGGGCTTCCCTCTCTTACATGTTGATCCAGTCGTGTTGAACTACTTAAGGACATGAGGTATTTTGTCTCCTTTCCAGGAAGGAAACATGCTGTTCTGTCTTTCTAGGCTGCTCTCTCTTTCCCTTTAACGACCTGATGAACTCCCATGCACCTTTAAGACTCAGTGAGGTAGCTCTTCCTCTGTGAAACTGTCCCTAACATACCACCCCTAATTTAGGTCACCAGTATACCCTGTCCTATTCTGATACATTTATCATGCTATTTTACAGTTCCAACATGTCTGTCTCTCCTATTAGATTATGAATTCCCCGAAGGTGTCCCCAGATCTATCACAGTGCCTATCATTCATGCACACATTGATTTCTTCATTCGACAATTGCTTCTTGAGCATCTAGTGATATTTCAGTATCGACTGCCAGACCCTGTGTAGGTGCTGAAAATAAAGCAGTCAGTAGGAAACACAGGGCCTGTGGTGAGAGATGGACAATAAACAAAACAATTCTTTGTCAGGCAGTGATCAAATAAAGCTGGGTAACAGATGGAGAATGTTGAGGTTGGGGACGTTTAAGTGATTGGGGTAGGCATCTGTCTTAGTCCCTTTGGGCTGCTATAACAAATACCATGGACTAGGTGACTTATAAACAAAAGAAATTTATTCCTCTTTGTTCTGGAGGCTGGAATGTCCAAGATCATGGCGCTGACAGAGTCAGGGTCTGGTGAGGGCCTGTGTCCCAGGTGGCCATCTTTCCACTTTAACGTCACCGGATGGGAGGCGCAAGGGAATTTTCTGATCCACTTTTATAAGGGCACTAATCTCATTTATGAGGGCCCTGCCCTCCTGAGTTAATCACCTCCCAAAGGCTCCACCTCCTAATACCATCAACTTGGGGGCTGTGTGTGTGTGTTAGGATTTTAATACTATGTGAACTGG